TCCTCTTCCTCCATAGTCATGTCCGTCCTCTTCCTCCATAGTCATGTCCGTCCTCTCCTCCATCATGTCCGTCCTCTTCCTCCTTAGTCATGTCCGTCCTCTTCATCCATAGTCATGTCCGTCCTCTTCCTCCATAGTCATGTCTGTCCTCTTCCTCCATAGTCATGTCCGTCCTCTTCCTCCATAGTCATGTCATGTCTTTTCGTCCTCTTCATCCATAGTCATGTCTGTCCTCTTCCTCCATAGTCATGTCCGTCCTCTTCCTCCATAGTCACTGTGACGTCTTTTATCTCCAGCAGATGATGATACACACATATATAGTGTGGGAACCCAGATTAACCCCTTCAGGGGCAGAACATTCCCCCACTTCCAGGGGCCGGAACATTCTCCTCATTGTGGAGAGGTGTCCCCTTCTCACCTCATCAATCTATACTAATGGATTATACCACTTTTATAAGTGGCAGGGGATGGAGAATCCTATGACATCACACTGACCTCGCAGCTCCTCCCCCCAATGTCCCTCCATCCAGAGTCAGAGAATCCTATGACATCACACTGACCTCACAGCTCCTCTCCCAATGTCCCTCCATCCAGAGTCAGAGAATCCTATGACATCACACTGACCTCACAGCTCCTCCCCCCAATGTCCCTCCATCCAGAGTCAAGTGGGGCTATAATAAATGGAGACCTTAATGGAGAGGTGAGGAGGATTCTGGGAATATCATTTGATGTGACTATTTGTGTTCAGATGTAGAGTTTTCCCTCCTGTGAAGTCTGGAGATCATATGACATCACATTGCCTCCACCTCCCTCCCTGATAGAAGAGAGAAAGAAGAAGAAGATTCTAGAAGTCACCCAGAGAGATCACTGAGCTGCTGACAGGAGAGGTGAGCGGTGCCGGGAATTCTGGGACATTCTCCAGTAACAGACAAGGGATGTGTCTGGATGGTGACTGTATCATTGTGTGTGTCAGGTTCCTATAAGGTGTCAGGGGTGTCACTGTCTATTTCTCCATGGAGGAGTGGGAGTATTTAGAAGGACACAAGGATCTCTACAAGGACGTCATGATGGACAATCAGCCGCCCCTCACATCACCGGGTAAAGAGGAGACTTTATTGTAAAGGAGAGAGCAGTACGGAGGATCCACCTAGATCCCCCATCATCTGATAAACACATAGAAACAATGGATTCAGTCAGTGTGTGTGTTTCCTACAGATGGATCCAGTCATGGGAACCCACCAGAGAGATGTCCCCGTCCTCTGTATTCCCGGGATTCCACACAGGAAGGTCACACCATCCCTCACCATCATCAGGTAGATGATGACAATTATTGGTAGTTGTGATTTATACACAGCATGTTTGTTACAATGAATGTTTTATATTATATCTTTCAGAGTGGAATCCTCGGGGATGATAATATTGATGTTAAAGAAGAGTATAAAGAGGAGGATGAGGAGTATGGAGTGATGGAGGAGTTTTCAGAAGGACACAAGGATATGATGGAGCCACCTAATACCAGGAACCCACCAGAGAGATGTCCCCGTCCTCTGTATTCCCGGGATTCCACACAGGAAGGTCACACCATCCCTCACTATTACAAGGTTGGTGGGATGGAGCATCTAGAACATGGACTCATGGAGACAATGTGTGGAGTTCTTTTATTTGACCTTACATCTTACGGATGACATTTCTCTCATTTCCTTGATTTAGAGTGGAGATCCAATCGATATAGAATTTGAGGTGAAAGCAGAAGAAGAAGAGGCGTATGTGAGGGATGATCAGCAGTCTATGGAGGAGGATGGAATAATGGGGACATTTATAGAGAGGACACTCCTACAGAGATCAGCACACAGGTGGGTCATGAACACTAAATCCATTCCTCCACCCATACTGCTCACTCATTGGTCCAGAGTAGGGCGGGGACTGGGTGATATCAGCCTGTAATCCCTTGGTCACTTTCCTGAGCTGTGTTCCCCGTCCTGTATTCCTGGATTTCTCTCGGATAATCTTCCTTCTCTGTGCTGCAGACACAATTTATGTCTCTAGACTGGATTTTATGGAGGTTCTGGGGTTCAGCTGGCAGAAAAATGTTCATTTTTACTCTAAGCATTGCATAATGTAGGCACCCAGGACATGTGACTGGGGTCTCCTGCCTTGTGCCTGACTCTTCCAGGGGACCTTCTCTGTTATCTGCTGGCTGTGCCGGGTGGAGGGATATGTCTGTAGTGTCTCAGACCCAAGTCACTGAGTGCAGTCTCAGGAGATATTGTATATATATTGTACCTTACATACTCCTGACCCCTGCACTATATACTCTATGTTGTGCATTACATACTCCTGACCCCTGCATTATATACTCTATATTGTGCATTACATACTCCTGACCCCTGCAATATATACTCTATATTGTGCATTACATACTCCTGTCCCCTGCACTATATACTCTATGATGTACATTACATACTCCTGACCCCTGCACTATATACTCTAGGATGTACATTATATACTCCCTGACCCCTGCACTATATACTCTATGTTGTACATTCCATACTTCCTGGACCCCTGCACTATATACTCTATTTTGTACATTACATACTCCTGACCCCTGCACTATATACTCTATGTTGTACATTACATACTCCTGAACCCTGCACTATATACTCTATTTTGTACATTACATACTCCTGACCCCTGCACTATATACTCTATGTTGTACATTACATACTCCTGACCCCTGCACTATATACTCTGTTGTACATTACATACTCCTGACCCCTGCACTATATACTCTGTGTTGTACATTACATACTCCTGACCCCTGCACTAATACTCTATGTTGTACATTACATACTCCTGACCTCTGCACTATATACTCTGTTGTACATTACATACTCCTGACCCCTGCACTATATACTCTATGTTGTACATTACATACTCCTGACCCCTGCACTATATACTCTATGTTGTACATTACATACTCCTGACCCCTGCACTATATATTATATGCTGTACATTACATCTTCCTGACCCCCCTGCACTATATACTCTGTTGTACATTTTATACTCCTGACCCCTGCACTATATACTCTGTTGTACATTCATACTCCTGACCCCTGCACTATATACTCTATGTTGTACATTACATACTCCTGACCCCTGCACTATATACTATATGCTGTACATTACATCTTCCTGACCCCTGCACTATATACTCTGTTGTACATTACATACTCCTGACCCCTGCACTATATACTCTGTTGTACATTACATACTCCTGACCCCTGCACTATATACTCTATGTTGTACATTACATACTCCTGACCCTGCACTGTATACTCTATGTTGTACATTACATACTCCTGACCCCTGCACTATATACTCTATGTTGTACATTACATACTCCTGACCCCTGCACTATATACTCTATGTTGTACATTACATACTCCTGACCCCTGCACTATATACTCTATGTTGTACATTACATACTCCTGACCCCTGCACTATATACTACTATATTGTACATTACTCCTGACCCCTGCATATACATATGTTGTACATTACATACCCCCTGCACTGTATACTCTATGTTGTACATTACATACTCCTGACCCCTGCACTATATACTCTATGTTGTACATTACATACTCCTGACCCCTGCACTATATACTCTGTTGTACACATTACATACTCCTGACCCCTGCACTATATACTCTATGTTGTACATTACATACTCCTGACCCCTGCACTGTATACTCTATGTTGTACATTACATACTCTCGACCCCTGCACTGTATACTCTATGTTGTACATTTCATACTCCTGACCCCTGCACTATATACTCTGTTGTACATTACATACTCCTGACCCCTGCACTATATACTCTATGTTGTACATTACATACTCCTGACCCCTGCACTATATACTCTATGTTGTACATTACATACTCCTGACCCCTGCACTATATACTCTATGTTGTACATTACATACTCCTGACCCCTGCACTATATACTCTATGTTGTACATTACATACTCCTGACCCCTGCACTATATATACTCTATGTTGTACATTACATACTCCTGACCCCTGCACTATATACTCTGTTGTACATTACATACTCCTGACCCCTGCACTATATACTCTATGTTGTACATTACATACTCCTGACCCCTGCACTATATACTCTATGTTGTACATTCCATACTCCTGACTTCTGCTCTCCCCCTCCCCGCACTGCTATATATACACATATTATGGATTCTCTTTTGTTCCCCCCATTTCCTCCCAGCTGGACATTTTATATATCGGATGATGATGTGATTGGAGCACAGACTTTTACATGGTGACAATAATGTGATAACATCCTCCAACTTTGGACCCTTATCCTCCTCCAACTGTGTTGGGCCTCTCTATACGGCTGAGCTGTCTCACACATGTGGTATCGCCATACTCAGGAGGAGTAGCAGAATGTGTTTTGGGGTGTAGTTACAAGTATGCCTGTGCCAGGTGTGAGAAATCACTTGTTAATATGACAACTTTGTGAAAAAAAAATATTTTATTTACTTTCTTCAGGATCCAAAGAATTGTGAGAAAAATTTACAGCTTCAAAAACTCCTCATACTTCTTACTAATTACCTTGGAATGTCTACTTTTCAAAAAGGGTCATTTGGGGGATATCTGTACCGTCCTGACATTTGGGGGATATCTGTACCGTCCTGACATTTGGGGGATATCTGTACCGTCCTGACATTTGGGGGATATCTGTACCGTGCTGACATTTGGGGGATATCTGTACCGTGCTGACATTTGGGGGATATCTAGGCGAAGTGGAATTCGAGTCGAATATCGGAAAATTTTCGATTCGCGCCGAATCCGAAAAATAGCCTACTTCGGACGCGCGAATCGAAATTTTTCCTAAAATGGCGGCGGACATGTGCGGCGACGGAGCGGGGATGTCTGGGAAGGCGCGCAGACAAGGCGCGCTGACCCATAATGCATTCCTTAATGACATGTGATCGCATCAGCCAATCAGCAGCCAGCCAGCCAGCACTGTGTAATGGTCGAGCTATAAATAGCGGCCATTTTGGAATTCTTCATTTGCCTCCAGTCATTCAAGAGAGGCAGACCGCTCTGTATTAGGGACAGAGTTAGGGCCACAGAAACGTTACTTGGGGACAGAGAAACGTTACTTAGGGACAGAGAAGCATTACTCAGGGACACAGAATTGTTAATGAGGGCCACAGAATCGTTACTTAGGGACAAAGAAACGCTAGTTAGGGCCACAGAATTGTTACTCAGGGACAGACAGAATTGTTACTGAGTGCCAGAGAATTGTTACTTAGGGCCACAGAAACGTTAGTTAGGGCCACAGAATTGTTACTCAGGGACAGACACAGAATTGTTACTGAGGGCCACAGAACTGTTACTTAGGGCCACAGAAACGTTATTAGGGCCACAGAATTGTTACTCAGGGACAGACAGAATTGTTACTGAGGGCCACAGAATTGTTACTTAGGGCCACAGAAATTGTTACTTAGGGGGCCACAGAATTGTTACTCAGGGACAGACACAGAATTGTTACTGAGGGCCACAGAACTGTTACTTAGGGCCACAGAAACGTTAGTTAGGGCCACAGAATTGTTACTCAGGGACAGACACAGAATTGTTACTGAGGGCCACAGAACTGTTACTTAGGGCCACAGAAACGTTAGTTAGGGCCACAGAATTGTTACTCAGGGACAGACACAGAATTGTTACTGAGGGCCACAGAACTGTTACTTAGGGCCACAGAAACGTTACTTAGGGCACAGAATTGTTACTCAGTTGTTACTGAGGGCCACAGAATTGTTACTTAGGGCCACAGAACCGTTACTTAGGGCCACAGAATTGTTACTCAGGGACACAGAATTGTTACTGAGGGCCACAGAACTGTTACTTAGGGCCACAGAATTGTTACTCGGGACAGACACAGAATTGTTACTCAGGGACACAGAATTGTTACTGAGGGCCACAGAACCGTTACTTAGGGCCACAGAAACGTTACTCAGGGACACAGAATTGTTACTGAGGGCCACAGAACCGTTACTTAGGGCCACAGAATTGTTACTCAGGAATTGTTACTCAGGGACACAGAATTGTTACTGAGGGCACAGAATTGTTACTGAGGGCCACAGAACCGTTACTTAGGGCCACAGAATTGTTACTCAGGGACACAGAATTGTTACTGAGGGCCACAGAACCGTTTACTTAGGGCCACAGAAACGTTAATCAGGGACACAGAATTGTTACTGAGGGACACAGAACCGTTACTTAGGGCCACAGAATTGTTACTCAGGGCAGACACAGAATTGTTACTTGAGGGACACAGAATTGTTACTGAGGGCCACAGAACCGTTACTTAGGGCCACAGACTTGAATTAGGGCTCAGGGTTACACACAGAATTGTTACTGAGGGCCACAGAACTGTTACTTAGGGCCACAGAATTGTTACTCAGGGACAGACACACAAATTGTTACTCAGGGACACAGAATTGTTACTGAGGGCCACAGAACCGTTACTTAGGGCCACAGAAACGTTACTCAGGGGCACAGAATTGTTACTGAGGGCCACAGAATTGTTACTTAGGGCCACAGAATTGTTAGGGCCACAGAATTGTTACTCAGGGACAGACACAGAATTGTTACTGAGGGACACAGAATTGTTACTGAGGGCCACAGAACCGTTACTTAGGGCCACAGAATTGTTACTCAGGGACACAGAATTGTTACTGAGGGCCACAGAACTGTTACTTAGGGCCACAGAATTGTTACTCAGGGACACAGAATTGTTACTGAGGGACACAGAATTGTTACTGA